AATATTCAACGTAACATTGTATTTCTGCCTGTAAGCTTTTGTTTCCACGTCACAAAGCACCTTATCTTTTGTGATTTATAAAGTGCTTTTCATAGATATACTAGAAGATTGGTTATGAAAAAAGATGAATTAAATATCTTTGGACCCGGGGTATGTGCATCTTGGGGGCTGGGGGTGAAGGGTCCTGTCCACAAGCACCTATCACGTTTTCCAAGTTTTTATTTCGCGAATATGATAAGTTTGGTGCCAGTAAAGAATCACTGGCACGTAAAATATCAATATCTGTAAAAGGCTTGGAAAGCGTCAGATATTTCGGACTGTTACAATTAACAGAAATATGTTTGTCTTTTTTAAAATTATTTTTAGCTATTATCAAGAAATAGACAGCTGGGTTTGCAGGTGATTGCCTCAGGGCATGTATTTATACAACCATGCAGTCATTGAGAAGCCATTACGCATAGCTAATGAGATGTTTTTCACTCGATTGCTTTCATTAACGGTTCAATTTTCTGACTTTTCTCCATTTCAGTTGTAGTCTAATCCGGCCAAAAATTTTGGGAACTTGAACTTTATTCTCATAACTGACAAAACAGTGAAGAGAAGATATATACATTATAATGAACATGAAATTATATATGGGGATTATGCAAATTTTTCTGTGAATTACTTGTATTACTTTTTATACTTTCAGTTTGAACACGTTGAGGTGTAGGGAAAATGGTAACTCTACAAAAACAACTACTAGTATAAGGGGAGTATAAATAACGTTATTTTACTTTCATTTTTGTTTCCATTTCAACTTAAAACAATATCGACCAATCCTCTCTGTATGTACGAGGCAGAATCAAATCCAGTTACAATGAAGCGCATTGAAGTGGTAAAATTTTCCATTTGGATGAAACGTTCTGAGTCATGTTTTGATAACATCAACATATAACATTACGACACGCCCATTTCTTTAGAAACGAGACAGGAATATTCGTCGTAATGTTTTAGGACATTACACTTTCCGCACAAAAAACATGAGTTACACTGAAATTAAAATTTTTATATAAGAAAGAGACATATAGAGAGTTTCCGCTTATATGTAAAACACGCATTGAGACGATTTTATACATAATTATGATTTTATCGTGTTTATTGGATTTAGCATAACACATGTATCAGTCGAACACGTGCTTACTTTAAACATATTTTATTGAGTATAATTCAATCAGGACTGGGCAACAGGCAATGCCTATGTACACCCTCTCCTTGTATAATTGGTCAAGATACAAATTAGTAGGAAATAATACATGAACATGTATAATCAATAAAATTATAATGAAAAATAAAGATTCACAATCAAGTATTATTTATCAATATTATATCTCAAAAATAATGACCACCCCCTAACTGTATGCATATTATTTACATACTGTTCCAGCTTAAAAATAATACAAATATTTGAAAAAAAAATTATGCATTTAACACGTGCTTACTCGGTGTTTATGTAGACCTTCAATTTCATTGGCTATTTTATTTATGAAATACCTGTTCTACAGGTATTCAACTGAATCATTTGACCGATTTTTCCTTTTTTCTCGACATGCTCTTAGTTACGTTCTGTAATAGCGTTACATGTTCTGTTTTTATCGACACTTGCGAAAAGACGACTATACCTAAACAAGCTTTAAGGTAAGAATAATAATAATATGATAATGAAAAAATAATTTTTGTATATTAGCATGGTGATAACGTATTTATTATATTTAACATCATACCCTAAAACTTTATTTTGTAAAAAAAAAAATCTAAACGCCAGGGCGGCTATAATCTATACACATGGTCTAGTTTTAAAACGCATGCAATGGCAGTCAGTTGCCCTTGGAACAATAGGCAAATACAATAAATTAAAAGCCGTACCAGGAAAGGTACTTTAAGTTTAAATAAAACAAACCTTAAACTTTGAAACCCAACAGCAAAACTTAATGATAAAAGTTATGGCTTCAACTTTTTTATCGTCATCTTATTAAAATTTTAAGTAGCAATCCCCTTACACTAGACAAAATTGCTATCACATCATCTAAGAGAATGAACATTTTACAGCTGAACATTTAAACACTTTTTAAGGATGTATCTGGTATATAATTTTGTTAGTTAAATAAAAAATAATGCAAAAATTATGCATATGTCAAACCTTATTTATACGTAAATAACTATAATGTTTACTGAAGCATTACTAATTCATAGAAAAAAAATTAAAACCGTGCCTATCCCATTTTTTAAGAAAACAATTTCAAATGTATCTTTGTATTTGTGTTCTTTACATTTGTACTAAAAAAAACTCAGAAAAAACTATACTTTATGCGGTGTTAGGACGTTAGAAGAGCGTGCTAAAGCAGACAGTATGGCGTCAGCAGGGGGTTCATTCGAGAAATCTGTAAAAAAAAAAAAAATGGCGTCAGCAGGGGGTTCATTCGAGAAATCTGTAAAAAACGAAAACAACATATGAATTCCTCTCATGAATAATTGTTGCAAATAAATTTTTTTTACTATAGATAGCCTCGGCATTAAGGTAGCAGCATACAATAAGTTGAAAATTATTCCACAAAACAAGGTCATCCGGAAGTTGAGTGGTATTTGTATGTTCACTAAGACACTAGATAATTTCTAGACGATATGATAGTCAATGACTGTTTGTTATTTGATTAATAAATTTCAGGGGCAACCTAACAGACCACTTTAAGTGATCAAGAATTTCATATCTGGGCAAAAATAGAGCGCATTGCATAGCTGTAAATTGTTTTTCGGACAATAAGGTCATTCAAGGATCATTTCATGATACCAAGACATTTGTCAATCACACTGTTTTCGAAATAATGGCAAATTATATACACTATAAACAATCCGGTGAACGTTCATTTCACAAATAAGAATTAACAAGTGCTGCGTTAGCAATTTTGTCTAGTGTATATCATCTGCATATGAAGTTAATGTCTTCCAGTCTTTAAAAGTCTTTTTTTTATACCTAGGAGGGTGTATTGTGATCGAGTTGTCCGCCATGTATGTCTAGCTTTCCGTCCTTCCGTCTGTCTAGCTGTATTTCTGTCTGTCAATAACGCTTTCGTTTCCGCGCGATATCTCGAGCCTTTGAGTATTTCAATAAAATTTTACTTAACAACCACCCATGGTCTCAAGAAGATCCATGTTGAATTTGAGGCCAAAAGGTCAAATATCAAACCATAAGCTTAAAAAATTCTGTCTGAATTAACACTTTTGTCTCCGCACAATTATCTCGAGATGCCTTTGGGCTTTTGAAATGAAATTTTATGCCCGACTCCCATATTGAATATTGAAGATACACCCCTTGCCACACACACACTATTAATTTCGATTTCAAAGGGTCAAATGTCAAGGTTGTGATTCATATTTTCCATATAATTGTGTGTATGATACTGTCATTTCCGGCCGATGTGTCAAGAAGCTTTTGGGGTTTTGCAATGGGGTTTTGTACCATAACTCCCTTCCTATGTCCCCCAACCCGCCAATCTAGATCCACACTGCTCTTCTTTTTGCCATAAGAAAACAGGGATAGCTTGTTTGGTTTATGATCGATCTAATCTAATATTTGTGAAATCTCTCTGAATCTACAAAACCGTGCCAATACAATTAATTGGTCAAGGATCAAAATGCCTATTTCATATTCAGTTTATAAAACTCAGCTTTTGTTGATGGTTGTAACAATAACATGCCATGTGGTTAGTTTGATATTTTCTCCTCATGACTAATTTTATAAATACGATATTTTAAGAAGTCTCATGTCTCAAGTGTTGTCATTTGAAAGTTTCTAGTGTAACTGTAATATATTCATAAAAAAAAAACAAGTTTCTTTACACATGTCAAATACAAACTTGAACACGACAAGATCGAATTTATTGCAGAATGCTGTCTAAGATCAAGGATGGCTGTACAATGAAACATTCTTCTCAAACAATTACTAGTATATTTTCATGACAGTGTACATTGTTGTTTACGAGTAATTCAATCTGTTATTCTCTCTACCATATCTCATTTAGGTTTTGTTCGATATTCTTCTATAGGTTTAACTTCCTTGTGTTATTGAATTATGAATTTATTATGCAACATTTAAAATGTTCTCTTTTTTGGCCGGTGCATGCAGTCTGCAATATCACACATTTTATGAATATTACCTTATAAATCTAAAAAGCGGGAAGATCAATTTTGTAGCCATGTATCAGTTCCTGATTTATTAAATGAAATCAAATCAAAGTATTTAGGAATAATAAGGTGAAAAGCAGAGATCTAATAGTACTCCAACCACGAAATCAAATCCCCACAAACCAATATTATTTCCTCAAACCTCGAATATTTGACCCAACGAAAATATGTGATTTTACAGTATCTGACTGCATTGTACAAATATTTAATTTTCGATGGATGTTTTTAACGATGAGAAATAAAAACAATACGATGAAAGTGTTTCAATAAATAAACTTAATATTTAAAGAAAGTAATCCTTATTTTAACACAGGTGTGACAATGTAAATCATATGTACATTATTCCAGTGTATTCACATAGATTACATTTTTGCTTGTCTTATGACGACATAAACATTTATCTGTATTATGCTTGATAAAGTCATATTTAGACCTGAACTTTTTTTTAAATAAGTATGACAAACTTACTCTGTGCAACAAAAACGATGTCACGGTTTTTGTGATTTCCAGCTCAATTCATGCATGAAGCTTTTTTGGGACAAGAAAATATTTAAGGATTAAAATTTAGAAACGTTGATCCCAGTTGTTTGGAGACCTTTCTTTGAAATTTTATGAATTAAGATAAATAAAAATTACTCTTGGGTAATATTTTGATATATAATTGATTGATAAAGAGGGAAATCTTAGTATTGAAGATAGGTGAATGAATTCTTAAACAATTCGCAAAAAGCCCAAGAGCATTATTAATTTATTCAAAATCTGATTCATAATATTTCCAGGATTATCTTAAGAAGAGGAAAATATTTAATTTTTAGTTTCCTTTGTAAAAAATTGTTCTGACGAATAAAATGCCACCCAAAAACAGGAGAAAAGGTAACAATAGTCAAAACAAAGGAAAGAAGAGAAACGGAAATGGCAAATCAAAGGAAAAAGCACAAACAGAATCAAATGAAGCTGTGTGTGAGTCCGTCAACGAGAACAGAGATGGGTGTGCCTTAAAACAGCCACAAGAAGATAAGAAGAAATCCACTGGTGATGGTACAGACACACACACACCAGAGCAGTCAGGTAATAGATCTCCAAGAGTCTCGGAAAATACAAATCTTGAACAGCAGTATAAACCAGAGGGTCAAGATGCGGAGAATATGAATGTAAATGAAAATGTTCCAAGTAGGGATACACATGAAATTAAGCAGTTTAGGAAAAAATCTTCTGCAGAAGGTTATAAACCAGATCTTAGACAGCAGGATAAACCAGAGGATCAAGATGCGGAGAATGTGAATGTAAATAAAAATGATTCAAGAAGGGATACACAGGCGATTGGAAAGCTTAGCAAAGAATCTTCTGCAGAAGGTAACAAACCAGATCTTGAACAGCAGGATAAACCAGAGGATCAAGATGCGGAGAATATGAATGTAAATGAAAATGATTCAAGTAGGGATACACAGGCGATTGAGCAGCTTAGCACAGAATCATCTGCAGAAGGTAACAAACCAGATCTTGGACAGCAGGATAAACCAGAGGATCAAGATGCGGAGAATATGAATGTGAATGAAATTGATTCAAGTAGGGATACACATGCGATTGAGCAGCTTAGCACAGAATCATCTGCAGAAGGTAGCAAACCAGATCTTGGACAGCAGGATAAACCAGAGGATCAAGATGCGGAGAATATGAATGTAAATGGAAATGTTCCAAGTAGGGATACACATGAAATTAAGCAGCTTAGCAAAGAATCTTCTCCAGAAGGTAACAAACCAGATCTTGGACAGCAGGATAAACCAGAGGATCAAGATGCGGATAATATGAATGAAAATGATTCAAGTAGGGATACACAGGCGATTGAGCAGCTTAGCACAGAATCATCTGCAGAAGGTAACAAACCAGATCTTGGACAGCAGGATGAACCAGAGGATCAAAATGAGGAGAATATGAATTTAAATGAAAATGATTCAAGTAGGGATACACAAGTTAGCACACACCTTGGACAGAGGATCAAGATGCGGAGAATATAAATGTAAATGAAAATGATTCAAGTAGGGATACACAGGTTGAGCAGCTTAGCATTACAGAGAGATCAAAATCTAGGCGGTGAAGATCCTTCCAATATTAATTCAAAAAAGAGTCACCTAGATAAGGATGAACAAGAGCAGTCTAGCAATCAGACCTCATCTGAAACAAAGATATCTGTTTCCATAGAAAATAAAGGGAATAGTGTAACGGGGAATATGAACTTCAATGAATTTGATACAGCTTTGCATAAACTAGAGCCGTCTAGAAATCGAGCTTCTAGTCACTCGGATGGCACGGATTCTGCACCTGGGGATAAAACAGAGAATCCAATAATTAAGAAAATGGATACAAAAGAGACCGATTCAAGAAAGGAAACACATGAGCAAATGCAGCCTAGAAATGGACCTTCTGCAGAATCAAACATAACAGGAGTTTTTAGACACTCAAATAACACTGATATTTTCCAGGGAGATAGAACAGAGAGTCAAGATATTAACAATATCAATACAAAAGAGAGTCTCCCAAGTAGTGAAACACAAGAAACAGAGCAGCATGGAAACGGCGCCTCTGCAGATGTCGACAAAACAGGCATTTTAGAAGACTCGGATAACAATGATTCCGTAGACTGGGATAAAACAGACAGTCAAGAAACTAACAATATCAATACAAATGGGAGTCTCCAAAGTAGAGAAACACAAGAGGAAAAGCAGCATGGAAATGAGGCTTCTGCAGTTGACGACAAAACAGGCATGTTAGAATACTCAGATAATTTTAGTTCTGAACATGGTGATTCTGAGCATGGAGATAGAACAGAGAGTCAAGATACAAACAATATAAATAAAAATAAGAGTCCCCCAAGTAGTGAAACACAAGAAAAACAGCATGGAAATGAGGTTTCTGCAGATGACGACATAACTGGCATTTTAGGAGACTTGGATAACAATGAATCCGTAGGCGGGGGTAAAACAGATAATCAAGATTATAACAATATCAGAACAAATGAGAGTCTTCCAATTAGTGAAACACAAGAGGAAAAGCAGCATGGAAATTTAGACGGTGAAGGTCCCCCTAATATTAATTCAAAAAAGAGTCAACTAAATACGAATGAAGAAGAGCTATCTGGCAATCAGTCTTCATCTGAAACAAAGACATCTGTCTCTATAGAGAACGCTAAAAAGGAGAACAGTGAAATTGGGGATTTGAGCTTCAATGAATTTGATTTAGATTTGCATAAACTAGAGCCGTCTAGGAATCGAGCTTCTAGTGACTCTGATGACACGGATTCTGCACCCGGGGATAAAACAGAGCATTTAGATATTAAGACGATGGATACAGAAGAGACCGATTCAAGAAAGGAAACACATGAGCAAATGCAGTCTGGAAATGGACTTTCTGCAGAATCAAACATAACAGGAGTTTATGGACACTCAAATAACAGTAATATTGTCCATGGAGATAGAACAGAGAGTCAAGTTATTAAGAATATCATTACAAAAGAGAGTCTCCAAAGTAGTGAAACACAAGAAACAGAGCGCCATGGAAACGGCGCCTCTGCAGATTTCAACAAAACAGGCATTTTAGACGACTCGGATATCAATGATTCTAAACATTGGAAAAAAACAGAGAGTCAAACTTCTAACAAAATTAGTACAATTGAGAGTCTCCCAAGTAGAGAAACACAAGAGGGGAAGCAGCATAGAAATGGAGATTTTGCAGATAACGACAAAACATACTTTTTTAAAGACTCGGATAACATTGATTCTGAGCATGGTGATTCTGAGCATGGAAATAAAACATACAGTCAAGACATAAACAATATAAATACAAGTGAGAGTCACACAAGTAGTAAAACACAAGAAGAAAAGCAGCGTGGAACTGAGGCTTCTACAGAAATAAGCATTTTACAAGACTCGGATAACAATGATGACAGGGATGAAACAGACAATCAAGAAACTAACAATATCAGAACAAATGAGAGTCTTCTAAGTAGTGAAATACAAGAAGAAAATCAGCATAGAAATGGATCTTCTGCAGATGTCGACAAATCAGGTCTTTTAGATATTAATGATTCTGAGCATGGGGATGGAATAGATAGTCAAGATGTAAAAGAAATAAAATCAAATGAGAATAATTCAATGAAGGCTACACAAGAGTCAGAGCGACCTAGGATTGGAGCTGTAGGAGATTCAGACAGAATGGGGTTAGAATTAAAAATGAGTTGTTCAGAGGACCAAGAGGGGAAGAATATGGATTTAGATGAGAGTCACCAAAGTGAGGAAACACCAGAGCTAAAACAGGACTCTGAAGATACAAAGAAAACTGTATCTATAGAGAACGCAAAAACAGGAAATCATGACACGCAGGATTTGATATCTCCTGAATCTGAGAAGGTGGAGGAAGGTGTGCTAGAAGACAATGGTGAGAGCCAAAATACAGTGTCTAAAACGTATTTTCGTGTCTATGATATATGCTTGATTTCGATGTTTCCAAACTTAACTGTTTCAGCCTTAATTGTGGTTTTCTTATGTTCCTACTTAACAGGAAGTCTCAGCCAAGAAAGAATCAATGGAGAAGAAAGACTTAAAGACGCTCAGCAAATGACAGAAGAATTACTGAAGTATCAAAGTTCAGAAGAAGAACTTCATGGTGTGTTTTTGCTTTGAAATATTAATTGGCTAAATAAACACCAGCAGATTATTACGATGGGATTTGGGAGAAATAAAACATCATTACTTTTTTTCTGAAATTTCCATTCATTCATTCAAATTTTCTTCAGAATAAATCAAGGAGCAGCTCTAATTGGTCAGATTTTTTCCTATTAGTAGAACCGGGACTGTTTAGATTGTTGATAATCAAAACTAATTCCAGAAGTAAAATTTAAAAATATCTTATTTCTAGCAAGACTGGCGGAGGCCAATGAAGAAACTTTGAGACTACGGGTAGAAGAACAAAGTGGTGAGAAATTTTGTTTCGTCATCATCGTACACATTGACTCATAAAAGTAAACAAAAAATCCCCATGTAACTAATATATTTAAGTAATCACTGACAAGTAAGTAGAGTATGCCAGGGCATCAACGATAGTTGGAAACGTGGGATAATTTTCAACTGGAGATATATATGTTTGATATATGATATATTTTGATATAAGCCTTAATTGTGATTTTCTGATGTTCCTACTTGACAGATAGTCTCAGCCAAGGAAGAATCATTAGAGAAGAGAGACTTAAAGACGCTCAGCAAATGAAAGAGGAATTACTGAAACATCAAAGTACAGAACAAGAACTTCTTGGTGTGTTTTATTTGCTGAATAAACACCAGCTGATTAAAACAGTTGCATTTATGGAAATATAAAACAACACAATTTTACTGAAATTTATTTATAAAGAAGAAATTTTAAATACTTTTTATGTGTTGTTCTACTTCTGATTCTTTGTGAATATTTTCTTTCTTAACTTGATATATTCAGTAATTCAACACAAATTTATCATTTCTCCAGAATAAACAAGGAACAACTCTAAATAGTCAGCTCTTTTGCAACTTATTAGAACCTGGACTGTTTAAATTGATGATAATCATATCCAATTCCCAAAAAAAAAATTAAAAATTTATTTTTAGCAAAACTTGGGAGGCCAATGAAGAGATAGAAAATTTGAAAAGACAGGTTGAAGAACAAAGTGGTGAGAAATTTTGTTTCATCATCATCTTACAATTTCACTCATATAAGTAAACAGAAAAAACCATGATAGTGATATATTTAAGGAATCACTGTCTAGTTAGTAGAGTATGCCAGGGCATCAACAATAGTTGGAAACTTTGGACGTTTTTCAATTAGAGATACAGTACCGACCAGACCCAACCTGACACAAAGCAGTCCCAGAGCAGTCCCGGGGACTGCTTTCTGGGACTGCTAAAGCAGTCCCACAGCAGTCCCAGAGCAGTCCCACAGCGGTCCCAGAGCAGCCCCACAGCAGTCCCAGAGCGGTCCCAGCAGTCCCAGCGGTCCCAGAGAGCAGTCCCAGCAGTCCCAGAAAGCAGTCCCAGCAGTCCCAGAGGGCGGGGTTTATTTATTTAATGGGCGGAGCTAACTCAGAAATGAGATTCCCAATAAACAATGGAACTATAAAAGGCTGTAGAATTTGATTCTGGGTAGTATGCCTGGAATCCTGATATGTGTGCAACGGTCATTTATGAACAGTACGCGCATAGAAACAAAATTGAAATAACATTAATTGAAGAAAGAAGGCTTACACACGTACATGTATGAAATTAAACTGAACATGAATATTACACCAGAGCAGTCCTAAATTAAAATTAATTAAAATTTATTATTTATTAATTAAAATAAATCACAATTATCTGGTATATTGATAATTCGATTTCTTTATATCTGTAATTGATACTGTTTCCCTATTTATTTTTTATACAGAAAATTAAACTAGAATTAATTATTTTACACCAGAATTAGCTTTAAATAGATCGTATCCTATGGCCAATTTCCATACTATCGGGATACTCTTATAAATTTTCTTAAGTATTGGGGCTTTTCAAAAAAAAATTCTTTGTTGATTTTGCCAAGTATTCATTTTCAGGCATGATTATTTTTACCGACATGTCAATTTAATCATTTTAAATTTCTCTGTCTCTATAATATTGTGCTTTAAGTTTTAAGTGCTTCTTTTGTTAATGTTAGAGTGTATATCTGTAAATCACACGAATGGAACCCTCAGATTATGTTCAAAATTAATTAATCCTGAAAGAAATTCATACACATTTCATTTATCAATTTTAATTTTGCTTTACATAGATTGAAATTAGGATCATTGTTGACCAGTATGTTCAATGATGTGAAACGCTGATATGTATACCCAAATAACATACACTGACTTTCTGCCCAAAGGCGATTGAAACCGCGAGTGTTGATACCATTCTTATACACATTAATCGGCGGTGTAAACAGGAGCAATACAAAAAAAAATTAAATCACAATTCCCGGTATTTTCAACTGTTTATTTTTGAAATTTATGTACTTTTTCATAACTTGTTTATAAATCAAAAACTACCGGTAATTCATTAATATTTTCCACAGTGATTTTCCACATTGTTTATGTTACGGAAGAATTAATGGAGGCATTAATTAATTTAATTTTTTAATTTTATTTTATGGTCATTTATTAAAGTGTGATATTTTATATTTGATGGTAAAAAACAAGTACCTTTTTTAATTAAAAATCATTTATCTAATTGTAATAATTATTATAAAATAGTACAAATGCAGATTTTTAGCATTTAATTTTACATTGAATACCCCATAATAAAAAGGCCTACATGTGGATATTTTTTTCTCATAAACCTTATCTTATATTAGGGAAAAAAATTATTCTTCTCCTGACTTCCTTATTTAACAAGTTTATTTTTTAAAAGTTTTTTTTCTAAACTACATTTGTGTAAATATACAGTCTAAGTAAATATTAAGTAACTATAATAATCACTACTTATTAAAAGATTGTAAGAAATCCTTGCTTTTTAAACAGTTTAAACTCATCTCTGCTACAAGTAAACAAAACAACTGGGGGCCTGCAAATTCAGAATACACAAAGGGGCGGAGCTATCATGTCACTCAGAACCTTTTTTCACACATGAGTGAACAAAGCAGTCCCAGAAAGCAGTCCCAGGGACAGCTGGGACTGCTGGGTCTGCTTTTTAGAGCAGTCCCAGAGCAGTCCTACAGCGGTCCCATAGCAGTCCCAGAGCGGTCCCAAAGCAGTCCCGGGGACTGCTTTCTGGGACTGCTTGGGTGTCAGGTTGGGTCTGGTCGGTACTGTATAGTATATGTTTGATTTCGATATACCCACTTCAACTGTTAAGCCTTAATTGTGGTTTTCTTATGTTCCTACTTGACAGATAGTCTTAGCCAAGAAAGAATCATTGGAGAAGAAAGACTGCAAGATGCTCAGCAGATGAAAGAGGAATTACTGAAACATCAAACTACAGAAGAGGAACTTCATGGTGTGTATTTGCCTTGAAATATTAATTAATATTTTTTTAAATAAACACCAACCGATTATTACGGAGACATTATGGAAATATAAACTATATAATTTTACTGAAAATTATTTAAAATTAACAATATCAATTATATAAAACTCTAAATAGTCAGCTCTTTTGCAACTTATTAGAACCTGGACTGTTTAGATTGATGATAATCATATCCAATTCCCAAAAAAAAAAAAAAAATTAAAAATTTATTTTTAGCAAAACTTGGGGAGGCCAATGAAGAGATAGAAAATTTGAAAAGACAGGTTGAAGAACAAAGTGGTGAGAAATTTTGTTTCATCATCATCTTACAATTTCACTCATATAAGTAAACAGAAAAAACCATGATAGTGATATATTTAAGGAATCACTGTCTAGTTAGTAGAGTATGCCAGGGCATCAACAATAGTTGGAAACTTTGGACATTTTTCAATTAGAGATATAGTATATGTTTGATTTCGATATACCCACTTCAACTGTTAAGCCTTAATTGTGGTTTTCTTATGTTCCTACTTGACAGATAGTCTTAGCCAAGAAAGAATCATTGGAGAAGAAAGACTGCAAGATGCTCAGCAGATGAAAGAGGAATTACTGAAACATCAAACTACAGAAGAGGAACTTCATGGTGTGTATTTGCCTTGAAATATTAATTAATATTTTTTTTAAATAAACACCAACCGATTATTACGGAGACATTATGGAAATATAAACTATATAATTTTACTGAAAATTATTTAAAATTAACAATATCAATTATTTTAAAAAATGCTTTCCGCTTCTGATTCTTTGTGAATATTTTCTTTCTTAACTTGATCTATTCATTCATTCAAATTTGCTTCAGAATAAAACAAGGAGCAGCTCTAAATGGTTAGCTCTTTTGCATCTTATTTATTATATCATTTATAGCAAAACTTGCGGAGGCCAATGAGGAGATAGGAAATTTGAGACGACAGGTTGAAGAACAAAGTGGTGAGAAATTTTGTTTCATCATCATCTTACAAATGGACTCATATAAGTAAACAGGGAGAACCCAATGTAACTGATATGTTTAAGAAATCACTGTCTAGTTAGTAAAGTATACCAGGGCATCAACGATAGATGGAAACGTGGGATAATTTGCATAACGTTCGAAGTCTGTTAAGCATAAATAACTAGTATCCCACGTGTCCAATTGTTGCAGATGTCCCTGACATACTCTAGTAAATAGACAATGATTCGTTATATTTCTATTTCATTGTGAAATTCAAATAAAATAGTTTTAGTTTTTTTTAATTGTAGATTAATTGATTTAACTATTATTAGCTTCACCTTTTATTTAAAATTTATTAATTTGAAATCAATCCGCGACGAATAATTTTCGCGACTGAGGAAACATTCCTTACAAATACTTAAAGATAAGATAAGTCGCTGAACTCTCAGAAATTTCTCGCACGAGAATAAAAGTTAGTTTACAGTATATTCTAAATACACATACAGGTATGCGTTACCATGTGCCAAATCAGGAAACGGATCGTCTTCCTCATGATAATGCAATGTCTAGTTGGACACAGGAAACGAATAATCTACAAGACAGAGAAAATCTTGGTCAGATTCTGTTTTCAATTTAACGATTCTTGATTACATCCACATGAAAAAAAAACCCACTTACAATCATTGAAATTTGAATATTGTATTAAAATGAATATGAAAAATACTTGCAACACTAATTATTTCATGTTTTGTTAGAATATACTTCATACGAAAGAAAAATAAAGGATTTGGAAAATGAGCTACATTCACAACAAGGTATTTATTGGTTGATGATTCAATGAATGATTGTATGATTGAATTCAGATAAATCAAATGTATCCGTCTTAGTACTCATATTCAAAAATTTTCTAAGAAATATTTCTTGATTACAGAAAGAGTGAACGATAACGAAGCACAAATTGAACAACTGAACAAAACGATCAACGATAAGTCTGGTATTTGTTCATTTTTTATGGAAATATTTAAATTATAAAACATTGTACACAACATGCACATTTCTTAATTATTAAACCCCCGGCAAACGAAGTTTAGGGGGGGGGGTATATTGGAATCACCATGTCCGTCTGTCCGTCTGTCTATCTGTAGACGAGATTTTGTCCGGACCATTACTCAGAAACTATTGGAAGGATTTGTCTGAAAATTTATACACATATTATTTACCATATGAATGTGTGCACCTTATATTTTCATCTTGATTGGATGATTATTTTGAATTTTACAGGTGTTTTTTCATTTTTATTTTGTGGTCTTGTTCAGACCGTTTCTCACAAACTATTGTAAGGATTTATCTGAAAATTTGTACACTTATTATTCACCATATGAATGAGTGAACCTGGAATTTTCAACTTTATTTGTCCATTTTTCTGCATTTTACAGGTTTTATTTTTATTTGAATTGACTTTGTTCATTTTGGGCTCATGTACAAGGTTTGAGACATAGAATCTAGAATATCTGTATAAAATGTGAACTACAGCTTAAAACAACTCATTAAAACAAAAAAAAAGAAACATCATCAAGTGTTTAAAACAGTTTATACATTACACAGAAGATAATGTAAATTCGTTTGTCTCTTGGGAATAATGACTGGACATGCATCCAGTTAAAGAAAAATTAATGAGTTTGGTGTTGGAGGTTGTTAAGGTTGTTAAGCCTGTGTGTTATCTGATCTCCAGGGAATAAGGCACAAGAATTAAAGATCTCTCTTCTCTAATTCTCTTAATTGTAATTTATTGTCTGTCAAAGCACTTCATTACTGGATGACCAGCTCTTTATTTTCAAAAGGGATTTGATCTATCAGGATTAATTTGATTTTGTATAATGATTTTTTTTAAACAATCAGTTTGCAGAGTGTCATGACACATACATGTACATGTAATTGCAATATATTTCTTTAATTTCTTTAATATATTTCTTTAATGCAGAAATAAAAAAAAATATGTTACCTTGAATTATATTTCACTGCAAATTTTTGTAAGTAAATAGTGAACACTTCTAGATCCATAAAGTATTTTTGAATTGGCACCTTCTCTGAAAAACCCAGCGGGGGGTATTTGTCCCTATTGGACAGTTCTAGTTAACTTTCTGGTATGAAACCAGAAGGGATTAAAATTCAGTAGAATGCCCATCTGCCTATATATAGATACATAACTTCCACCTTTTTACTTCAGATTCAGTAAAATTTTGCACATTACTAATTGAATTTAATGAAAAGGTATTGCTTCATTAATTTCATCTCCAAACTGCATTTGGATAAATTAAATAGATACCTTATCGTTTGAAAATCCTATGATGTAAAACAGATTTCAGTATATATTTCACAATCAAGGAAAATATGAAATTTTTGTCTACTTTCCTTTAGATGAAAATTGCCGTTTACTACAAAGAATTCTCAAGTTGGAAACAGCTGAAAAACAATTAAATGGTAAGTGGACTGTAATACATCCGTTATTTACTCAACTACCATTCCATTTAATACGTCAGTAGAAGTGTGTTACTTGATTTTGTTTAAATAACTACATGTACATAGTGACATTTTGGTTTATTAAATGTGTGTATTTTATTGTATAAGATCAAAATAACATATAAAAAAATTAATCATATTTATGTTTTTATTAATTATATTAAGTCTTTGTTTTTAGAAATAAAGACCAAGGCATCTGAAGGTATGTAAAAACAAAAAAGTAACCTAAAGGTGTGCTAGAAGACAATGGTGAGAACCAAAATACAGTGTCTAAAACGTATTTTCGTGTCTATGATATATGCTTGATTTCGATGTTTCCAAATTTAACTGTTTCAGCCTTAATTGTGGTTTTCTTATGTTCCTACGTAACAGATAGTCTCAGCCAAGAAAGAATCAATGGAGAGGGAAGACTTCAAGACGCTCAGCAAATAACAGAGGAATTACTGAAACATCAAAGTACAGAAAAAGTACTTTATGGTATGTTTTTGCCTTGAAATATTTATTGACTAAATAAATACCAGCAGATTATTACGATGGGATATGGGAGATTTAAAACATCATGATCATTTTACTGATATTTCCATTCATTCATTTAACATTTCTTCAGAATAAATCAAGGAGCAGCTCTAATTGGTCAGATTTTTTCCTATTAGTAGAACCGGGACCGTTAAGATTGTTGATAATCATAACTAATTCGAAAAGTAAAATTTAAAAATATGTTACTTGTATTTCTAGCAAGACTTGCGGAGGCCAATGAAGAAACTTTGAGACTACGGGTAGAAGAACAAAGTGGTGAGAAATTTTGTTTCGTCATCATCGTACATTTCGTCATCATCGTACACATTGACTCATAAAAGTAAACAAAAAATCCCCATGTAACTAATATATTTAAGTAATCACTGACAAGTAAGTAGAGTATGCCAGGGCATCAACGATAGTTGGAAACGTGGGATAATTTTCAACTGGAGATATATATGTTTGATTTTGATATATTTTGATATAAGCCTTAATTGTGATTTTCTGATGTTCCTACTTGACAGATAGTCTCAGCCAAGGAAGAATCATTAGAGAAGAGAGACTTAAAGACGCTCAGCAAATGAAAGAGGAATTACTGAAACATCAAAGTACAGAACAAGAACTTCTTGGTGTGTTTTATTTGCTGAATAAACACCAGCTGATTAAAACAGTTGCATTTATGGAAATATAAAACAACATAATTTTACTGAAATTTATTTATAAAGAAGAAATTTTAAATACGTTTTTATGTGTTGTTCTACTTCTGATTCTTTGTGAATATTGTCTTTCTTAACTTGATATATTCAGTAATTCAACACAAATTTATCATTTCTCCAGAATAAACAAGGAACAACTCTAAATAGTCAGCTCTTTTGCAACTTATTAGAACCTGGACTGTTTAGATTGATGATAATCATATCCAATTCCCAAAAAAAAAAAAAAAAATTAAAAATTTATTTTTAGCAAAACTTGGGGAGGCCAATGAAGAGATAGAAAATTTGAAAAGACAGGTTGAAGAACAAAGTGGTGAGAAATTTTGTTTCATCATCATCTTACAATTTCACTCATATAAGTAAACAGAAAAAACCATGATAGTGATATATTTAAGGAATCACTGTCTAGTTAGTAGAGTATGCCAGGGCATCAACAATAGTTGGAAACTTTGGACGTTTTTCAATTAGAGATATAGTATATGTTTGATTTCGATATACCCACTTCAACTGTTAAGCCTTAATTGTGGTTTTCTTATGTTCCTACTTGACAGATAGTCTTAGCCAAGAAAGAATCATTGGAGAAGAAAGACTGCAAGATGCTCAGCAGATGAAAGAGGAATTACTGAAACATCAAACTACAGAAGAGGAACTTCATGGTGTGTATTTGCCTTGAAATATTAATTAATATTTTTTTAAATAAACACCAACCGATTATTACGGAGACATTATGGAAATATAAACTATATAATTTTACTGAAAATTATTTAAAATTAACAATATCAATTATTTAAAACTCTAAATAGTCAGCTCTTTTGCAACTTATTAGAACCTGGACTGTTTAGATTGATGATAATCATATCCAATTCCCAAAAAAAAAAAAAAAATTAAAAATTTATTTTTAGCAAAACTTGGGGAGGCCAATGAAGAGATAGAAAATTTGAAAAGACAGGTTGAAGAACAAAGTGGTGAGAAATTTTGTTTCATCATCATCTTACAATTTCACTCATATAAGTAAACAGAAAAAACCATGATAGTGATATATTTAAGGAATCACTGTCTAGTTAGTAGAGTATGCCAGGGCATCAACAATAGTTGGAAACTTTGGACATTTTTCAATTAGAGATATAGTATATGTTTGATTTCGATATACCCACTTCAACTGTTAAGCCTTAATTGTGGTTTTCTTATGTTCCTACTTGACAGATAGTCTTAGCCAAGAAAGAATCATTGGAGAAGAAAGACTGCAAGATGCTCAGCAGATGAAAGAGGAATTACTGAAACATCAAACTACAGAAGAGGAACTTCATGGTGTGTATTTGCCTTGAAATATTAATTAATATTTTTTTTAAATAAACACCAACCGATTATTACGGAGACATTATGGAAATATAAACTATATAATTTTACTGAAAATTATTTAAAATTAACAATATCAATTATTTTAAAAAATGCTTTCCGCTTCTGATTCTTTGTGAATATTTTCTTTCTTAACTTGATCTATTCATTCATTCAAATTTGCTTCAGAATAAAACAAGGAGCAGCTCTAAATGGTTAGCTCTTTTGCATCTTATTTATTATATCATTTATAGCAAAACTTGCGGAGGCCAATGAAGAGATAGGAAATTTGAGACGACAGGTTGAAGAACAAAGTGGTGAGAAATTTTGTTTCATCATCATCTTACAAATGGACTCATATAAGTAAACAGGGAGAACCCAATGTAACTGATATGTTTAAGAAATCACTGTCTAGTTAGTAAAGTATACCAGGGCATCAACGATAGATGGAAACGTGGGATAATTTGCATAACGTTCGAAGTCTGTTAAGCATAAATAACTAGTATCCCACGTGTCCAATTGTTGCAGATGTCCCTGACATACTCTAGTAAATAGACAATGATTCGTTATATTTCTATTTCATTGTGAAATTCAAATAAAATAGTTTTAGTTTTTTTTAATTGTAGATTAATTGATTTAACTATTATTAGCTTCACCTTTTATTTAAAATTTATTAATTTGAAATCAATCCGCGACGAATAATTTTCGCGACTGAGGAAACATTCCTTACAAATACTTAAAGATAAGATAAGTCGCTGAACTCTCAGAAATTTCTCGCACGAGAATAAAAGTTAGTTTACAGTATATTCTAAATACACATACAGGTATGCGTTACCATGTGCCAAATCAGGAAACGGATCGTCTTCCTCATGATAATGCAATGTCTAGTTGGACACAGGAAACGAATAATCTACAAGACAGAGAAAATCTTGGTCAGATTCTGTTTTCAATTTAACGATTCTTGATTACATCCACATGAAAAAAAAAAACCCACTTACAATCATTGAAATTTGAATATTGTATTAAAATGAATATGAAAAATACTTGCAACACTAATTATTTCATGTTTTGTTAGAATATACTTCATACGAAAGAAAAATAAAGGATTTGGAAAATGAGCTACATTCACAACAAGGTATTTATTGGTTGATGATTCAATGAATGATTGTATGATTGAATTCAGATAAATCAAATGTATCCGTCTTAGTACTCATATTCAAAAATTTTCTAAGAAATATTTCTTGATTACAGAAAGAGTGAACGATAACGAAGCACAAATTGAACAACTGAACAAAACGATCAACGATAAGTCTGGTATTTGTTCATTTTTTATGGAAATATTTAAATTATAAAACATTGTACACAACATGCACATTTCTTAATTATTAAACCCCCGGCAAACGAAGTTTAGGGGGGGGGGTATATTGGAATCACCATGTCCGTCTGTCCGTCTGTCTATCTGTAGACGAGATTTTGTCCGGACCATTACTCAGAAACTATTGGAAGGATTTGTCTGAAAATTTATACACATATTATTTACCATATGAATGTGTGCACCTTATATTTTCATCTTGATTGGATGATTATTTTGAATTTTACAGGTGTTTTTTCATTTTTATTTTGTGGTCTTGTTCAGACCGTTTCTCACAAACTATTGTAAGGATTTATCTGAAAATTTGTACACTTATTATTCACCATATGAATGAGTGAACCTGGAATTTTCAACTTTATTTGTCCATTTTTCTGCATTTTACAGGTTTTATTTTTATTTGAATTGACTTTGTTCATTTTGGGCTCATGTACAAGGTTTGAGACATAGAATCTAGAATATCTGTATAAAATGTGAACTACAGCTTAAAACAACTCATTAAAACAAAAAAAAAGAAACATCATCAAGTGTTTAAAACAGTTTATACATTACACAGAAGATAATGTAAATTCGTTTGTCTCTTGGGAATAATGACTGGACATGCATCCAGTTAAAGAAAAATTAATGAGTTTGGTGTTGGAGGTTGTTAAGGTTGTTAAGCCTGTGTGTTATCTGATCTCCAGGGAATAAGGCACAAGAATTAAAGATCTCTCTTCTCTAATTCTCTTAATTGTAATTTATTGTCTGTCAAAGCACTTCATTACTGGATGACCAGCTCTTTATTTTCAAAAGGGATTTGATCTATCAGGATTAATTTGATTTTGTATAATGATTTTTTTTAAACAATCAGTTTGCAGAGTGTCATGACACATACATGTACATGTAATTGCAATATATTTCTTTAATTTCTTTAATATATTTCTTTAATGCAGAAATAAAAAAAAATATGTTACCTTGAATTATATTTCACTGCAAATTTTTGTAAGTAAATAGTGAACACTTCTAGATCCATAAAGTATTTTTGAATTGGCACCTTCTCTGAAAAACCCAGCGGGGGGTATTTGTCCCTATTGGACAGTTCTAGTTAACTTTCTGGTATGAAACCAGAAGGGATTAAAATTCAGTAGAATGCCCATCTGCCTATATATAGATACATAACTTCCACCTTTTTACTTCAGATTCAGTAAAATTTTGCACATTACTAATTGAATTTAATGAAAAGGTATTGCTTCATTAATTTCATCTCCAAACTGCATTTGGATAAATTAAATAGATACCTTATCGTTTGAAAATCCTATGATGTAAAACAGATTTCAGTATATATTTTCACAATCAAGGAAAATATGAAATTTTTGTCTACTTTCCTTTAGATGAAAATTGCCGTTTACTACAAAGAATTCTCAAGTTGGAAACAGCTGAAAAACAATTAAATGGTAAGTGGACTGTAATACATCCGTTATTTACTCAACTACCATTCCATTTAATACGTCAGTAGAAGTGTGTTACTTGATTTTGTTTAAATAACTACATGTACATAGTGACATTTTGGTTTATTAAATGTGTGTATTTTATTGTATAAGATCAAAATAACATATAAAAAAATTAATCATATTTATGTTTTTATTAATTATATTAAGTCTTTGTTTTTAGAAATAAAGACCAAGGCATCTGAAGGTATGTAAAAACAAAAAAGTAACCTAAAGGTGTGCTAGAAGACAATGGTGAGAACCAAAATACAGTGTCTAAAACGTATTTTCGTGTCTATGATATATGCTTGATTTCGATGTTTCCAAATTTAACTGTTTCAGCCTTAATTGTGGTTTTCTTATGTTCCTACGTAACAGATAGTCTCAGCCAAGAAAGAATCAATGGAGAGGGAAGACTTCAAGACGCTCAGCAAATAACAGAGGAATTACTGAAACATCAAAGTACAGAAAAAGTACTTTATGGTATGTTTTTGCCTTGAAATATTTATTGACTAAATAAATACCAGCAGATTATTACGATGGGATATGGGAGATTTAAAACATCATGATCATTTTACTGATATTTCCATTCATTCATTTAACATTTCTTCAGAATAAATCAAGGAGCAGCTCTAATTGGTCAGATTTTTTCCTATTAGTAGAACCGGGACCGTTAAGATTGTTGATAATCATAACTAATTCGAAAAGTAAAATTTAAAAATATGTTACTTGTATTTCTAGCAAGACTTGCGGAGGCCAATGAAGAAACTTTGAGACTACGGGTAGAAGAACAAAGTGGTGAGAAATTTTGTTTCGTCATCATCGTACATTTCGTCATCATCGTACACATTGACTCATAAAAGTAAACAAAAAATCCCCATGTAACTAATATATTTAAGTAATCACTGACAAGTAAGTAGAGTATGCCAGGGCATCAACGATAGTTGGAAACGTGGGATAATTTTCAACTGGAGATATATATGTTTGATTTTGATATATTTTGATATAAGCCTTAATTGTGATTTTCTGATGTTCCTACTTGACAGATAGTCTCAGCCAAGGAAGAATCATTAGAGAAGAGAGACTTAAAGACGCTCAGCAAATGAAAGAGGAATTACTGAAACATCAAAGTACAGAACAAGAACTTCTTGGTGTGTTTTATTTGCTGAATAAACACCAGCTGATTAAAACAGTTGCATTTATGGAAATATAAAACAACATAATTTTACTGAAATTTATTTATAAAGAAGAAATTTTAAATACGTTTTTATGTGTTGTTCTACTTCTGATTCTTTGTGAATATTGTCTTTCTTAACTTGATATATTCAGTAATTCAACACAAATTTATCATTTCTCCAGAATAAACAAGGAACAACTCTAAATAGTCAGCTCTTTTGCAACTTATTAGAACCTGGACTGTTTAGATTGATGATAATCATATCCAATTCCCAAAAAAAAAAAAATTAAAAATTTATTTTTAGCAAAACTTGGGGAGGCCAATGAAGAGATAGAAAATTTGAAAAGACAGGTTGAAGAACAAAGTGGTGAGAAATTTTGTTTCATCATCATCTTACAATTTCACTCATATAAGTAAACAGAAAAAACCATGATAGTGATATATTTAAGGAATCACTGTCTAGTTAGTAGAGTATGCCAGGGCATCAACAATAGTTGGAAACTTTGGACGTTTTTCAATTAGAGATATAGTATATGTTTGATTTCGATATACCCACTTCAACTGTTAAGCCTTAATTGTGGTTTTCTTATGTTCCTACTTGACAGATAGTCTTAGCCAAGAAAGAATCATTGGAGAAGAAAGACTGCAAGATGCTCAGCAGATGAAAGAGGAATTACTGAAACATCAAACTACAGAAGAGGAACTTCATGGTGTGTATTTGCCTTGAAATATTAATTAATATTTTTTTAAATAAACACCAACCGATTATTACGGAGACATTATGGAAATATAAACTATATAATTTTACTGAAAATTATTTAAAATTAACAATATCAATTATTTAAAACTCTAAATAGTCAGCTCTTTTGCAACTTATTAGAACCTGGACTGTTTAGATTGATGATAATCATATCCAATTCCCAAAAAAAAAAAAAAAATTAAAAATTTATTTTTAGCAAAACTTGGGGAGGCCAATGAAGAGATAGAAAATTTGAAAAGACAGGTTGAAGAACAAAGTGGTGAGAAATTTTGTTTCATCATCATCTTACAATTTCACTCATATAAGTAAACAGAAAAAACCATGATAGTGATATATTTAAGGAATCACTGTCTAGTTAGTAGAGTATGCCAGGGCATCAACAATAGTTGGAAACTTTGGACATTTTTCAATTAGAGATATAGTATATGTTTGATTTCGATATACCCACTTCAACTGTTAAGCCTTAATTGTGGTTTTCTTATGTTCCTACTTGACAGATAGTCTTAGCCAAGAAAGAATCATTGGAGAAGAAAGACTGCAAGATGCTCAGCAGATGAAAGAGGAATTACTGAAACATCAAACTACAGAAGAGGAACTTCATGGTGTGTATTTGCCTTGAAATATTAATTAATATTTTTTTTAAATAAACACCAACCGATTATTACGGAGACATTATGGAAATATAAACTATATAATTTTACTGAAAATTATTTAAAATTAACAATATCAATTATTTTAAAAAATGCTTTCCGCTTCTGATTCTTTGTGAATATTTTCTTTCTTAACTTGATCTATTCATTCATTCAAATTTGCTTCAGAATAAAACAAGGAGCAGCTCTAAATGGTTAGCTCTTTTGCATCTTATTTATTATATCATTTATAGCAAAACTTGCGGAGGCCAATGAAGAGATAGGAAATTTGAGACGACAGGTTGAAGAACAAAGTGGTGAGAAATTTTGTTTCATCATCATCTTACAAATGGACTCATATAAGTAAACAGGGAGAACCCAATGTAACTGATATATTTAAGAAATCACTGTCTAGTTAGTAAAGTATACCAGGGCATCAACGATAGATGGAAACGTGGGATAATTTGCATAACGTTCGAAGTCTGTTAAGCATAAATAACTAGTATCCCACGTGTCCAATTGTTGCAGATGTCCCTGACATACTCTAGTAAATAGACAATGATTCGTTATATTTCTATTTCATTGTGAAATTCAAATAAAATAGTTTTAGTTTTTTTTAATTGTAGATTAATTGATTTAACTATTATTAGCTTCACCTTTTATTTAAAATTTATTAATTTGAAATCAATCCGCGACGAATAATTTTCGCGACTGAGGAAACATTCCTTACAAATACTTAAAGATAAGATAAGTCGCTGAACTCTCAGAAATTTCTCGCACGAGAATAAAAGTTAGTTTACAGTATATTCTAAATACACATACAGGTATGCGTTACCATGTGCCAAATCAGGAAACGGATCGTCTTCCTCATGATAATGCAATGTCTAGTTGGACACAGGAAACGAATAATTTACAAGACAGAGAAGATCTTGGTGAGGTTCTGTTTCAAAGATTCTTGATAACATCCACATGAAAAAAAACCACTTGCAATCTTTTGAATATTGTATTGAAATGAAAAAGGAAAAAACTTGCAACACTAATTATTTTATGTTTTGTTAGAATCTACTTCATACGAAAGAAAAATAAGGGATTTGAAAAATGAGCTACATTCACAACAAGGTATTTATTGGTTGATGATTTAATGAATGATTGTATGATTGAATTCAGAAAATCAAATGTTTCCTTCTTAGTATTCAAATTCAAAAATTTTCTAAGAAATATTTCTTGATTACAGAAAGAGTGAACGATAACGAAGCACAAATTGAACAACTGAACAAAACGATCAACGATAAGTCTGGTATTTGTTCATTTTTTATGGAAATATTTAAATTATAAAACATTGTACACAACATGCACATTTCTTAATTATTAAACCCCCGGCAAACGAAGTTTAGGGGGGGGGGTATATTGGAATCACCATGTCCGTCTGTCCGTCTGTCTATCTGTAGACGAGATTTTGTCCGGACCATTACTCAGAAACTATTGGAAGGATTTGTCTGAAAATTTATACACATATTATTTACCATATGAATGTGTGCACCTTATATTTTCATCTTGATTGGATGATTATTTTGAATTTTACAGGTGTTTTTTCATTTTTATTTTGTGGTCTTGTTCAGACCGTTTCTCACAAACTATTGTAAGGATTTATCTGAAAATTTGTACACTTATTATTCACCATATGAATGAGTGAACCTGGAATTTTCAACTTTATTTGTCCATTTTTCTGCATTTTACAGGTTTTATTTTTATTTGAATTGACTTTGTTCATTTTGGGCTCATGTACAAGGTTTGAGACATAGAATCTAGAATATCTGTATAAAATGTGAACTACAGCTTAAAACAACTCATTAAAACAAAAAAAAAGAAACATCATCAAGTGTTTAAAACAGTTTATACATTACACAGAAGATAATGTAAATTCGTTTGTCTCTTGGGAATAATGACTGGACATGCATCCAGTTAAAGAAAAATTAATGAGTTTGGTGTTGGAGGTTGTTAAGGTTGTTAAGCCTGTGTGTTATCTGATCTCCAGGGAATAAGGCACAAGAATTAAAGATCTCTCTTCTCTAATTCTCTTAATTGTAATTTATTGTCTGTCAAAGCACTTCATTACTGGATGACCAGCTCTTTATTTTCAAAAGGGATTTGATCTATCAGGATTAATTTGATTTTGTATAATGATTTTTTTTAAACAATCAGTTTGCAGAGTGTCATGACACATACATGTACATGTAATTGCAATATATTTCTTTAATTTCTTTAATATATTTCTTTAATGCAGAAATAAAAAAAAAATGTTACCTTGAATTATATTTCACTGCAAATTTTTGTAAGTAAATAGTGAACACTTCTAGATCCATAAAGTATTTTTGAATTGGCACCTTCTCTGAAAAACCCAGCGGGGGGTATTTGTCCCTATTGGACAGTTCTAGTTAACTTTCTGGTATGAAACCAGAAGGGATTAAAATTCAGTAGAATGCCCATCTGCCTATATATAGATACATAACTTCCACCTTTTTACTTCAGATTCAGTAAAATTTTGCACATTACTAATTGAATTTAATGAAAAGGTATTGCTTCATTAATTTCATCTCCAAACTGCATTTGGATAAATTAAATAGATACCTTATCGTTTGAAAATCCTATGATGTAAAACAGATTTCAGTATATATTTTCACAATCAAGGAAAATATGAAATTTTTGTCTACTTTCCTTTAGATGAAAATTGCCGTTTACTACAAAGAATTCTCAAGTTGGAAACAGCTGAAAAACAATTAAATGGTAAGTGGACTGTAATACATCCGTTATTTACTCAACTACCATTCCATTTAATACGTCAGTAGAAGTGTGTTACTTGATTTTGTTTAAATAACTACATGTACATAGTGACATTTTGGTTTATTAAATGTGTGTATTTTATTGTATAAGATCAAAATAACATATAAAAAAATTAATCATATTTATGTTTTTATTAATTATATTAAGTCTTTGTTTTTAGAAATAAAGACCAAGGCATCTGAAGGTATGTAAAAACAAAAAAGTAACCTAAAGGTGTGCTAGAAGACAATGGTGAGAACCAAAATACAGTGTCTAAAACGTATTTTCGTGTCTATGATATATGCTTGATTTCGATGTTTCCAAATTTAACTGTTTCAGCCTTAATTGTGGTTTTCTTATGTTCCTACGTAACAGATAGTCTCAGCCAAGAAAGAATCAATGGAGAGGGAAGACTTCAAGACGCTCAGCAAATAACAGAGGAATTACTGAAACATCAAAGTACAGAAAAAGTACTTTATGGTATGTTTTTGCCTTGAAATATTTATTGACTAAATAAATACCAGCAGATTATTACGATGGGATATGGGAGATTTAAAACATCATGATCATTTTACTGATATTTCCATTCATTCATTTAACATTTCTTCAGAATAAATCAAGGAGCAGCTCTAATTGGTCAGATTTTTTCCTATTAGTAGAACCGGGACCGTTAAGATTGTTGATAATCATAACTAATTCGAAAAGTAAAATTTAAAAATATGTTACTTGTATTTCTAGCAAGACTTGCGGAGGCCAATGAAGAAACTTTGAGACTACGGGTAGAAGAACAAAGTGGTGAGAAATTTTGTTTCGTCATCATCGTACATTTCGTCATCATCGTACACATTGACTCATAAAAGTAAACAAAAAATCCCCATGTAACTAATATATTTAAGTAATCACTGACAAGTAAGTAGAGTATGCCAGGGCATCAACGATAGTTGGAAACGTGGGATAATTTTCAACTGGAGATATATATGTTTGATTTTGATATATTTTGATATAAGCCTTAATTGTGATTTTCTGATGTTCCTACTTGACAGATAGTCTCAGCCAAGGAAGAATCATTAGAGAAGAGAGACTTAAAGACGCTCAGCAAATGAAAGAGGAATTACTGAAACATCAAAGTACAGAACAAGAACTTCTTGGTGTGTTTTATTTGCTGAATAAACACCAGCTGATTAAAACAGTTGCATTTATGGAAATATAAAACAACATAATTTTACTGAAATTTATTTATAAAGAAGAAATTTTAAATACGTTTTTATGTGTTGTTCTACTTCTGATTCTTTGTGAATATTGTCTTTCTTAACTTGATATATTCAGTAATTCAACACAAATTTATCATTTCTCCAGAATAAACAAGGAACAACTCTAAATAGTCAGCTCTTTTGCAACTTATTAGAACCTGGACTGTTTAGATTGATGATAATCATATCCAATTCCCAAAAAAAAAAAAAATTAAAAATTTATTTTTAGCAAAACTTGGGGAGGCCAATGAAGAGATAGAAAATTTGAAAAGACAGGTTGAAGAACAAAGTGGTGAGAAATTTTGTTTCATCATCATCTTACAATTTCACTCATATAAGTAAACAGAAAAAACCATGATAGTGATATATTTAAGGAATCACTGTCTAGTTAGTAGAGTATGCCAGGGCATCAACAATAGTTGGAAACTTTGGACGTTTTTCAATTAGAGATATAGTATATGTTTGATTTCGATATACCCACTTCAACTGTTAAGCCTTAATTGTGGTTTTCTTATGTTCCTACTTGACAGATAGTCTTAGCCAAGAAAGAATCATTGGAGAAGAAAGACTGCAAGATGCTCAGCAGATGAAAGAGGAATTACTGAAACATCAAACTACAGAAGAGGAACTTCATGGTGTGTATTTGCCTTGAAATATTAATTAATATTTTTTTAAATAAACACCAACAGATTATTACGGAGACATTATGGAAATATAAACTATATAATTTTACTGAAAATTATTTAAAATTAACAATATCAATTATTTAAAACTCTAAATAGTCAGCTCTTTTGCAACTTATTAGAACCTGGACTGTTTAGATTGATGATAATCATATCCAATTCCCAAAAAAAAAAAAAAAATTAAAAATTTATTTTTAGCAAAACTTGGGGAGGCCAATGAAGAGATAGAAAATTTGAAAAGACAGGTTGAAGAACAAAGTGGTGAGAAATTTTGTTTCATCATCATCTTACAATTTCACTCATATAAGTAAACAGAAAAAACCATGATAGTGATATATTTAAGGAATCACTGTCTAGTTAGTAGAGTATGCCAGGGCATCAACAATAGTTGGAAACTTTGGACATTTTTCAATTAGAGATATAGTATATGTTTGATTTCGATATACCCACTTCAACTGTTAAGCCTTAATTGTGGTTTTCTTATGTTCCTACTTGACAGATAGTCTTAGCCAAGAAAGAATCATTGGAGAAGAAAGACTGCAAGATGCTCAGCAGATGAAAGAGGAATTACTGAAACATCAAACTACAGAAGAGGAACTTCATGGTGTGTATTTGCCTTGAAATATTAATTAATATTTTTTTTAAATAAACACCAACCGATTATTACGGAGACATTATGGAAATATAAACTATATAATTTTACTGAAAATTATTTAAAATTAACAATATCAATTATTTTAAAAAATGCTTTCCGCTTCTGATTCTTTGTGAATATTTTCTTTCTTAACTTGATCTATTCATTCATTCAAATTTGCTTCAGAATAAAACAAGGAGCAGCTCTAAATGGTTAGCTCTTTTGCATCTTATTTATTATATCATTTATAGCAAAACTTGCGGAGGCCAATGAAGAGATAGGAAATTTGAGACGACAGGTTGAAGAACAAAGTGGTGAGAAATTTTGTTTCATCATCATCTTACAAATGGACTCATATAAGTAAACAGGGAGAACCCAATGTAACTGATATATTTAAGAAATCACTGTCTAGTTAGTAAAGTATACCAGGGCATCAACGATAGATGGAAACGTGGGATAATTTGCATAACGTTCGAAGTCTGTTAAGCATAAATAACTAGTATCCCACGTGTCCAATTGTTGCAGATGTCCCTGACATACTCTAGTAAATAGACAATGATTCGTTATATTTCTATTTCATTGTGAAATTCAAATAAAATAGTTTTAGTTTTTTTTAATTGTAGATTAATTGATTTAACTATTATTAGCTTCACCTTTTATTTAAAATTTATTAATTTGAAATCAATCCGCGACGAATAATTTTCGCGACTGAGGAAACATTCCTTACAAATACTTAAAGATAAGATAAGTCGCTGAACTCTCAGAAATTTCTCGCACGAGAATAAAAGTTATTTACAGTATATTCTAAATACACATACAGGTATGCGTTACCATGTGCCAAATCAGGAAACGGATCGTCTTCCTCATGATAATGCAATGTCTAGTTGGACACAGGAAACGAATAATCTACAAGACAGAGAAAATCTTGGTGAGATTCTGTTTTCAATTTAACGATTCTTGATTACATCCACATGAAAAAAAAAACCACTTACAATCATTGAAATTTGAATATTGTATTAAAATGAATATGAAAAATACTTGCAACACTAATTATTTCATGTTTTGTTAGAATATACTTCATACGAAAGAAAAATAAAGGATTTGGAAAATGAGCTACATTCACAACAAGGTATTTATTGGTTGATGATTCAATGAATGATTGTATGATTGAATTCAGATAAATCAAATGTATCCGTCTTAGTACTCATATTCAAAAATTTTCTAAGAAATATTTCTTGATTACAGAAAGAGTGAACGATAACGAAGCACAAATTGAGCAACTGAACAAAACGATCAACGATAAGTCTGGTATTTGTTCATTTTTTATGAAAATATTTAAATTATAAAACATTGTACACAACATGCACATTTCTTAATTATTATACCCCCCGCAAACGAAGTTTAGGGGGGGGGTATATTGGAATCACCATGTCCGTCTGTCCGTCTGTCTGTCTGTCTGTCTGTCTGTAGACGAGATTTTGTCCGGACCATTACTCAGAAACTATTGGAAGGATTTGTCTGAAAATTTATACACATATTATTTACCATATGAATGTGTGCACCTTATATTTTCATCTTGATTGGATGATTATTTTGAATTTTACAGGTGTTTTTTCATTTTTATTTTGTGGTCTTGTTCAGACCGTTTCTCACAAACTATTGTAAGGATTTATCTGAAAATTTGTACACTTATTATTCACCATATGAATGAGTGAACCTGGAATTTTCAACTTTATTTGTCCATTTTTCTGCATTTTACAGGTTTTATTTTTATTTGAATTGACTTTGTTCATTTTGGGCTCATGTACAAGGTTTGAGACATAGAATCTAGAATATCTGTATAAAATGTGAACTACAGCTTAAAACAACTCATTAAAACAAAAAAAAAAAGAAACATCATCAAGTGTTTAAAACAGTTTATACATTACACAGAAGATAATGTAAATTCGTTTGTCTCTTGGGAATAATGACTGGACATGCATCCAGTTAAAGAAAAATTAATGAGTTTGGTGTTGGAGGTTGTTAAGGTTGTTAAGCCTGTGTGTTATCTGATCTCCAGGGAATAAGGCACAAGAATTAAAGATCTCTCTTCTCTAATTCTCTTAATTGTAATTTATTGTCTGTCAAAGCACTTCATTACTGGATGACCAGCTCTTTATTTTCAAAAGGGATTTGATCTATCAGGATTAATTTGATTTTGTATAATGATTTTTTTTAAACAATCAGTTTGCAGAGTGTCATGACACATACATGTACATGTAATTGCAATATATTTCTTTAATTTCTTTAATATATTTCTTTAATGCAGAAATAAAAAAAAAATGTTACCTTGAATTATATTTCACTGCAAATTTTTGTAAGTAAATAGTGAACACTTCTAGATCCATAAAGTATTTTTGAATTGGCACCTTCTCTGAAAAACCCAGCGGGGGGTATTTGTCCCTATTGGACAGTTCTAGTTAACTCTCTGGTATGAAACCAGAAGGGATTAAAATTCAGTAGAATGCCCATCTGCCTATATATAGATACATAACTTCCACCTTTTTACTTCAGATTCAGTAAAATTTTGCACATTACTAATTGAATTTAATGAAAAGGTATTGCTTCATTAATTTCATCTCCAAACTGCATTTGGATAAATTAAATAGATACCTTATCGTTTGAAAATCCTATGATGTAAAACAGATTTCAGTATATATTTTCACAATCAAGGAAAATATGAAATTTTTGTCTACTTTCCTTTAGTTGAAAATTGCCGTTTACTACAAAGAATTCTCAAGTTGGAAACAGCTGAAAAACAATTAAATGGTAAGTGGACTGTAATACATCCGTTATTTACTCAACTACCATTCCATTTAATATGTCAGTAGAAGTGTGTTACTTGATTTTGCTTAAATAACTACATGTACATAGTGACATTTTGGTTTATTAAATGTGTGTATTTTATTGTATAAGATCAAAATAACATATAAAAAAATTAATCATATTTATGTTTTTATTAATTATATTAAGTCTTTGTTTTTAGAAATAAAGACCAAGGCATCTGAAGGTATGTAAAAACACAAAAGTAACCCCTTTTGATATACAAATGGGGCCTATTTTACAAAAGAGCCCACGATTAAGACCAAGAAGTTTAGTTAGTGGTAAACTTTTTGCAAAATTAGATTTTCTGTTTTTAAAATGCTAGTGTAAAATTATGTTAAAAAGATTTTTAAACATCTCAGTATAATTGAAATATAATTTTAATGGGAAAGTAATCAGTAGAATTCAGTTTTGTACTCATTCCTTAGTTTCTTTGCAAAACAGCCCCCCGATGCATTAGTCCATGGAATTTTTTTCATAAAGCTATACAGAAGTGACATTTACCCTCATTTTGACATCAATTTATTACGTCTTTCTCTGTGTATATTTTATGTTTGACTTTAGACAAAATGGTCTGTTTCTTAGTTTGCTTAGTTAAAACGCAACAATCGTTAACGTTACATTTTACACAACTATTTACATGTACTATTTTATGTATTGCCACTTCATTTTTAGCTCACCTGAGCTGAAGGCTCAAGTGAGATTTTCTGATCACATTTTGTTTGTCGTCCGTCCGTCCGTCTGTAAACTTTTCACATTTTCGACTTCTTCTCAAGAACCACTGGACCAATTTGACCAAATTTGGTACAAAGCATCCTTGGGTGAAGGGTAATTTAAATTGTTAAAATAAAGGGCCAAGTCCCCTCATAAGGGGAGATAATCAAGAAAAGACAAAAAAAGGGTGGGGTCATTAAAAAATCTTCTTCTCAAGAACCAATGGGCCAGAAAAGCTGAAACTTATGTGGAAGCATCCTAGGGTAGTAGCATCCTAGGGTAGTTTAAATTCTAAATTTTTCAAATCATGACCCCCGGGGGAAGGGCGAGGTCACAATGGGGAATCAAAGTTTTACATAGAAATATAGAAGAAAAATCTTTGAAAATCTTCTTCTCAAGATCCACTGGGCCAGAAAAGATGAAACCTATGTGGAAGCATCCTGGTATAGTGTTGATTCTTAATTGTTCAAATCATGACCCCCGGGGGAAGGGCGGGGCAACAATGGGGAATCAAATTTTTACATAGAAATATATTATAATAGAAGAAATCTTTTGAAAATCTTCTTCTCAAGAACCACTGGGCCAGAAAAGCTGAAACCTATGTGGAAGCATCCTGGTATAACGTAGATTCTAAATTGTTCAAGTCATGACCCCTGGGGGGAAGGGCGGGGCCACATTGGGGAATCAAAGTTTTACATAGAAATATATAGGAAAAATCTTTGAAAATCTTTTTCTCAAGAACCACTGGACCAGAAAAGCTGAAACTTATGTGAAAGCATCCTAGGGTAGTGTAGATTCTATATTATTCAAATCATGACCCCCGGGGGAAGGGCGGGGCCACAATGGGGAATCAAAGTTTTGCATAGAAATATATAGGAAAAATCTTTGAAAATCTTCATCTCAAGAACCACTGGGCCAGAAAAGCTGAATCTTATGTGCACATGGAAGGAATATGGGGTAGTGTAGATTTCAAAATGTCTAAATTATGATCAGTGGGGTAGGGTGGGGATGCATTACGTATTGCAAGGGGGAAATCTGGTAAAGAACAGAATGGTCAAAGCTTCTCAGGTGAGCGATGTGGCCCATGGGCCTCTTGTTTCCGTAATTTACGATTTGCTAGAGGGCTGTATTTATGCACATTTAATTTTACACAAACTCGCAAAAATAAATTGAGATAGAAAATTGATCTCTCTGTTTTTATTCTCTGGTTCTTATTTCTTTTTTACAGAGGAGAGTTTAAGGGAGGCTGAAATAGAGAAACTGCAAAAAGAACTAGATTCTATGAATGGTATGTATCTCCTCAACAGATATGCCGTTTTTTAGTTCCACAATGATTATAAGAATCTATACAATTTTTTTATATTCTTAGTATTTCACAAATATAGTAGATATACTATATCCATCAATGTATAATTTATTTCATTATAATTTCGACTCATTTTTAAAATTATCAATACGAACAGAATCTCTTAACCAAGAGAGGAACATTGGAGAAGTCAGATTAAAAGAAATTGAGAAGTTAGAGGAGGATATACATAATCATAGGACAAGAGAAGAAGATTATCAACGTACGTGAATGCTTTGAATAATAATTTTCATTTACGTTGGGTATTTTGCTCCTTTCATAAAATATATCTAATGTAATGCATTTAACGAGGCTGGGGTGGCAGCCATTTTCAGACTATTTCAATCTCCTTTAAAAGAAGAGCTCCATATAAAGATATACAAAAATGATCAAATTTTTAAATTAAAATGTATGAAGTTTTTCTTTGCCAAATGATAGTTGACAGCTTAAGATACTGTATCTTAAAAAATTAGTTAAATATGGTGGTTAATTTGTGGTTAATTTGTTGGCCCCCCAGCCCCCTTAAAAGGCAAAAATTCAAAAATCACGTTTGGTTCTTGTTTGCATGTTTGTCCCTGTTGATTTTACACTTTTAAGATGTTTTTGAACAATATCAAGTTTTAAAATCTAACGTATAGAATTTAATTAAGTGAGTAAATAGCGATGCAATGCAAATAAGATTATTATCTTTCTTCAATACCTCTTCAAAAATTATTTGATTGATTACCATAAGTTAAAGTGAAAGTTTTTTAATATGAAAAGGGAATTTTTTTTTACTTCTCCCAAATTTATTATAATTTCTAGAAAAGCTAGAGGAAGCCAATAGAGAAATGGAAAATTTGAAAAGACAGACTGAAAAACAATGTGGTGAGATACGTCACATTAATAATACAAAAGAGACGATATTACTGTATTTCAAACAAGCGATTTTTTTTATTGACATATTCTTTGAAAGATAATGAAGTGCAAAAAAGTTCATAGTGATTTCTCAAGAACTGGGTTGTATTCACCTTTAGAATTAAAACATAGGTTCATATTGATAATGTTAAAAATAGATTCATTTAAGTGGAAGCAATAGGTATTTATGTATTCATCACAAATTCGTTTCCTTACAATAATGTAATTATGAAGATATTGTTCTAATTATAGCAGACAACGGTAGTATTCTTCACAAATATTTAGAAGAAGAAAAGACTTCAAAACATTACAAAGGTATACTTAACTCTAATTTTAAAAATGCTTTTAACAATACTAATTGATATCTCTTCTTCCGTTATTAATTGTGATTCATATTGATTCTATCGAAAGTTTCCTTGGAGGTCATGGGACAAGAGAAAGAAGAAGTAGAAAGTCAGCTCCATTACACGAAAGGTATGTAAAGATTACATAAAAAACCTGGGTTCGGGTATTTCCAAAGAAAAGTTGGTCATTTTGTTTGTTCGATTTTTTTGGTTCATTTTGTTTTTAACTATTTCTTTTTAAAGGGGGGGGGCATTAATTATAATTATTTTTATTAGTAAAAATTTTCAAAGTACAGTATAATATGAGGTTTTTTTTCCTACATGCATGTATTTTTCTTAAATAAGTGAAAAAAGGAGGAGAATATTTACACTGTAAAAAGAAAATTTGTTTGAAAATGTTCAAGATTACTATTTAGTTTGTTAAGTTTGCTGGGGCTTCAACGACAGTTGAAGACATTACAGGCATAGCCCATTTACAGTAAATTATTGCATGTTTTCAAATGACGTAAATGTCATTTCCATCAAACAATCATATATTTAACATAATTTGTAAATCAGAAACGTAAATATAACACAAGTGGTGTCATATAGATGATAATTATGAAGGCATTCCTTAATAATGTCCAAAGTTGTCACCCAATGACGTGGCACAAAATGGTAGACACGGGAAATTAACATGCATATAAATGTTTGATCAATTTTGCATTCTGTTGTAATTTTTAACACGCATGAACTTTCAAAGAATTATCTTATAAAAACATGGAAATGTTAATATAAAAATGTTTTACTTATGTTGTAGAAAAACTTGCTCAAACAGAACGCGAGGTGATAATTACCAAAGAAGAACATAAAGCAGAGAAATCAAAACTAGAGGAAGCATTCCAAAGGTTGAAAGGTGAAGCTTACTAAAAGTGTTTTGGTACATTGTATAAATCAGAATGAGAAAGAAAGAAAAAACATCCTCTTAATCAGTGACACATGAGTAGTCATCTAATATCTTATAACTTGAATTTATTATCAAATATTAAACATTCAAAGTGCATAGACATACATATGAAGTTAATATCTTCTCAAAATTTCTGCATAATATCACAACTTATATATATTGCAATAGCATTTCTTACGAAAATACATTAAAAATTTCATCTAAAAAGAAATTGAACCTTAAAATTTTTGGGGGGTTTGATGGACACATCCTTCCACTTTCACAAATTTAAGAAATGTGGCAATCTTCTTGTGTATCATTAGATTATTAAAACTATAATCCAGAAAATTCAGAGTAGAATTGTTCGAAAGCGAAACATACATACAGTATATTGTCAGTCCATGAAGTTTTGTCAAGCAGACTTTAACAATTGAACACACCCGGTGAATCGTAATCCTTAACAATATTAGAGCTCGTGCACTGTTTACAAAAACTGTGTACGTTTCACGGGTGTGTTCAATTTGCTAAACTCTGTACACAATGACGATTCTTGTAAAAGGATTTTTGCTTTCGATTATTTCTACTCTAAATACAATTATTTTTCTGGATTTAAGTTTCAATATTTCTTATTAATACACACCAAGATTGCCACTTTTCATGAATATTAAAAATAAGATTAAAATTTGTAAAAGTGCAAGCTAGGATGTGTTTACCAATCAAACCCATCCAAATATTTGAAGGTTCAATTACTTTTTAGATGAAATAAGATTTTCAATATATTTTCGTGTGAAATGCTATTGCAATATATAAGTCGTGATATTATACAGAAAATAGTAACTTCAAATTTGTGTCCGATTTAAGAATACATGTATGTAAATTTTAAGTAGAACTTTAGCAACACTAAAGTGTAGATTAAAATAGTTGGTTGGTATGTTCTAACATAAACATTGCTTTATTTTCTTCTTTTTGAAAAAATAAATGTTTTTTTTATTCATTTAAACATTTTAACTTTTTTCAGCTCAATCATCCCAGGAAATAGAAAAACAACATCAACAAATAAATAAACTTAAGGATGATATTCAGCGTTTAGAGACCATCCTTGCGCATACAACAAGTTTGTAATTTGAAATTCTCCTACCAGTAGTCATAGATAAGCATAATAATTTGCATGTATTTTATATAATGTTATAACTTTTGCAGATGAGTTGGAAGGAAAGAAAGTAGAAAATAAAAAATTGGAATCTGAACTCAACCGAATTAAGCGTAAGTTATAAAATACTAGTATAATGAATTTTCATAGGTATAATTGTATCACTGCAGCTATAGTTTTTGATTAAAATATATCAAATGACGTTTACATGTAGTTTATTGATGAATTAAATAATAATATGTTAAACGGGAGTACAGGATGTTGGGCATTTTTCGTTATCATATTTGCAGCAAAGTTTTAGAAAAAGACTTTTGTGAATAGGCTGGCTCTTTAGTGTGTGGAAATGAAATAGTTGCGCTAGAATAAATCAGAATACTAGTATACAAACACAAGCTTGTCTGAAAAGTTAGATGATTACATATATATTTATTATGCTTACTACACTGAAGTATTCTAAACATTAAATTGCATTAACAGATGAATTTTGACTTATAATTATACTATAGAGTAATCAGTTTCAGTTTTAGTTCAATGTTAAGACACCAGGGAAGGAATATAAGTTTTGAAAATGGATTTAAGATGAATATGATTACTTAGTATCATTATATACTATTATGTTAATTCTTTGTTTTCAAGAAAAACAATAAACATGTTTGCTATCAATTCTCATTGTCAGGAGAACTGGAGGGCATCAAAAATGAGAAGACACAGCTAGAAGACCACATTTGTCAGTTAAATGGTAAATATGTTATATGTTATATTTATTTACAAACTTCATAAATTTACATAGATCAAAGGAGAAGATCGCTGTTTATTTATACTCAATATATAATTGTATCAACAGGAGAAATAAATACACGTGATACAAGGATAATGAAGATGAACGGCGATTTAACGATGAAGGAAGCTGAAAAAACCTATGCCAATGGTAGGAATTTGTTTATCCAGTACTTAAATTTAAAAATTTTTCGCAAACAATATAGGAGATTTACTGATTACACTTTTTAAACTTATAATTTATTCTTTTTTTTCTTAATCCTAAACAGCATACAAAACTTGGTTATGTGTTTATTTAAAACCATGTATCTTGTATATGGTGGAACCATATCTGTGGATCAAAGTATTGAATATGAGAATTTAGAGTTGTTTTTATGCCCACGTAAACGAAGTTTCGGGGGTATATATTTTTTGTCGTGTCCTTCCGTCTGTCTGTCTCTCTGTCTGTCTGTCTGTCTCTCTGTTTGTCTGTTTGTCCGCAAAAACTTTAACCTTGCCCATAACTTTTGATTTAGTGGAGCTATGACTTTCATATTTTGTTTATTTCTTGTGACAAGAACACACAAATTTGACCTTTTGACCTTGACCTTGTTTGACATTTTACATTAAAATTTTAAACTTTTACTTTGGTCTTTTGAATAGTAGATACCAGGACATTTATACTTCACATATGTAATCTTTGTTGAAAGACCTTTCATGGGATACATGGCCTTCAAAATAAAAAAATTTTAACCTTGGCCATAACTTGGTATAGAGTCCTATTTGATTTTTGTGGAAAAATCTTTATTACTTATTTAAAAAAGCAAACCTACATGCTTTTAAAGAATTAGGGCATGTTTTATACTTAACATATTTAATTTTTGTACAAGACCTTTCATTTGATAACCATTCTAGTTGGAATTTGGCCTAGATTGTTAAAATGAAAAAGGATAAAGATCTTTTGATCTTGACCTATGACAAAAAACTTCAAATTGTTTTCCTATACAAATCTGTAAAACACACAATGATAAGTCATTTTTTGAGGCATATTTAGTTAAGAGCATGGCCTTCAGAAATAAAGCTGGCAATAGTTGGTATAGAGTCTTATTTGATTGGGAAAAATCTTTATTACTTATTTAAATACATGTACATGTATGTAACCATTCTAGTAAGATTGTTAAAATGAAAAAGGTAAAGCTATCGAATATGACAAAAAACTTCAAATGAAACAAATCTGTAAACGAGGAATAAAACACCCATCCCTGGAAAATCCATTGAGATAGGACATTTAAGGCGGAATATTCCTTAATTTACAAAATAGTGTAAAAACTGTATGGTCAAATCTTTCATACGACATTTTTCTGAAAAGCAACACATCAAAGGCATAGGATGAATGTTGTTTTCTATGGGCCTTCTGTTTTGTAGTCTTTGGTGAGAATGAAAATGTTTTATCTTTTGAAAGTAAATAACGCAACTAATAATGAAGTCATTGTAAATTTCTGCCATGGTTCAGAAATGATGCCAAACCAATGACATCCATGAGCATACTGTATACAGGGTTATTTTCGCCCCGTGTTATTTTCGCCCTTTCACACTGTAAAACAAATTTGCCCCGTATTTAAGAAATTATACTGATTTTTTTAAATTCGCCCCGTTTTAAATTCGCCCTCCTGAGGTGAGGGCCAAAGGGGCGAAAATAAAACGGGGGCGAAAATGTCCCTGTATACAGTATATAAATATGAATTGCACTGACAATATAAGTTATTCGAATTTAAATTTCATGTTTATATATGTATAGGAAAAAGTAATTTTTAGATAATTATGAGATGTTATAGTTTATTTTGTTTCTTTATCATATCTTTAGAATGCATGCAAAAGGCTGTTCAAAGACAACAGGAAATGACGTATCAACTATCCACTTTACAGAGAGTTGAAATGGAAAAAAATCAAGCAGAACAAGACAAGAAATCACTATTAGGTGATTACCTTTTTAATATACTAGTATTATATTTAACATGCTATCAAATTAGAACGAAACTAATGATGAACAAGCTATTCCTTTTTTTATTGGGGAAGAATCGTAATTTAAAAAAAATAAAAACCTAGTAATACAAGAGTTAAAGGGGTATCACTGAATGGAAAGAAATGTCACAATTGCCATAAATTCTTTAGTAAACGAAAGTGTTCAACATATTTTATTAATGTATAGCTCAGTCTATATGACTTTTGTCCGAAAACTTCATTCAGAATACCCAGTATACAAACTCTGTAGAATACTAGTATTAAAACACGATGAGACGTGGTCCAACGTTGGGTCTCGCCTATCAACTCAGGCCAAATTATGCCAGTTCTCTTCAATAAATTCTCATTTTGAATATGATGGTACGCAAGATTTGTGAATGAACTGAAAACGATTGCCGTCGAAATATGTTTTCTCATAACTACGTGTCATAACACTATATATACCTTAATATATTGAATTGAAAATCAATATTGGATGTTTGCTAGAAGCACTGACTTTTACAGTTGAAGGCTACACTGACCAGGTTAACTGAGTTAAAATTAATGATTCATTAACAGTCGTTGACATTCTTTCTAACACTAAATTGGCTGATAAGATTAATACCAGGGTCATAAAAATTAAAATGCAAAATGTTGATGCTTATATCACCTAGCTATTCTGCTTTAAAGAAATAGTTGAAGTACCATTCAAATTTGAAACATGAAATTTATATTTCCGGACTTAAGGATATCCGATCCTCGGTCAGGAAGGATAACTCGAAAAATTAATATTTAATTTGAAATGCATCAAAATGAAGCTTGAAAATGATTTTTTTCATGCAACAATTTTCACTTTATTCATCTTAATAAGATTCAATGTTTTTGGAAGTCTTTGAAAAGGTCTTATAAAAGTTTACATTTGTACCGTATAAAAGGAAAAAAATGAATACGGTTTTAGAGAAATAAAATTTTCTTGAATCCAGCCTTAGATACCAATGCTTATTTGCATGATATGAAATAAGAAGTGATTTTTGGTGTCTTGCAATGATAGCAAAGGCCTTTTACACATGTATTATAGAATACATGACGGAAACAGAAGACAAAAAATACCAGATAAGTATAAAAATCATGACAATTTCTCTGAATGCCTGGATACCTATCGTTTTTTAACCTAAATTATATTTGTTGATCAATTTGCAATTAGAAAATGCATTCCTGATATTCCATTTTGCTTTTTCTGCAAAAATATTGATAATTTGACAATTTTCCCTATATAATATGATTAACTTTAATCTTTAACTTTAAAGAAATACTGTGGATAAATTTACATAACTTTTCAGAGATACTTTCATGAGTATTTTTGATTACTTAACTGCCAATTTCATTAACCTGAGGATCGGACTACCTTAATGGGTTTATTTTCAGTTAACAATGATTTTATGGATGATGTTGGTGTTTTCAAAAGCCCAAATAGCAAAACAAATCTGTCTTTGAAATTTATGTCATCATCTAAAAGATTAAACTTCATTTCAGATGAGAACAACCTTCTGCGTGCAAGTCTGAAAGAAACAGACGATTTTCGCAGCTATCTGCAGAATTACTATAAAATTTTACAAGACACACAGTTAGCATTACAGAGGGAAACTGGTAAGATCTTTGCAAACAATGACACATATGTAACTAATTTAATATATTTTACCTCTCGATCAAAGTGTAATGTAGTGAAAGAATAGTTTTTAGTCGAATTCTTTTTTCTGTCTTTGCAAAACATTGTGATGTAATGTACCGAACTTGTGTCGATAAACCAAGCCTATCCTTTGTATGAAATGTTATTTTTAACGAAAACGAATAGCAAATACGATAATACGATCATCGTATCATGAAAAGTGTATTGAGAACAAAGTGATACTAGTAAAATGAAATATTCGATACGTACGAGGGGTGATCAAAAAGTTCGCAAACTATCTCTACAGTAAAACTCGTTTAGTACAAACACAGATATAGCGAATTAACGGATATAGCGAAGTTTATCTGGGTCCCCGGCAAAATTCTTAACAAATCTTTGTAAAATTTTACGGGTATAACGAACTCTGATATAACGAATTTACGGATATAGCGAACTAATTTTGAGTCCCTTTGAGGTTAACTATAATGAAATTTACATCTTTTATATCGAACTTTCAAATATTATAAAAAAAAAATGATAATTTGAACTTACTTTATTTCCTTTTAGCATTTGTATATAAAATTCAATTCATAAGAAAACCTACGTTATCGAAGATATGTCTTGTAATATTTGCTTCACTAACATACTTCGTAGTAATACTTGAAGAAAAACATGCATTGTGCGAATTCGTATTTCGTTATACGGATATAGCGAATTAAATTCACAGGTCCCAAAGACTTCGCTATAACCGAGTTTTACTGTATATCTACAAAACCACAATTCAGATTAGAATAAAATTTAGTACACATAATAATTATTGCCATACACAAGTTCTATAAAGAGCATATGCTGAATATTTGAATGATAATATATTATAATTATTAAATGCCTAAGATATCGTTTACTTTTGATTTTAAACATACGAGGGGTTATCAAAAAAGTTCGTGGACTGAGGCGAAAAAAATTAACACTACATAGTCTGTGCTTTCAAAATTTAAAAGGAACATAAAACAACAAAAAATAAAGAAATGTTGAAATTTTTAACTTCATAAATTCATTATTTGCCAAATTGATAAAAAAATAAAAACGACATTATATGATCACCCGGCCCTGTCGTCGCTAAATTTTATGACGTCCAAAAACGTCACATTTTTCAAAGTCCGATTCTTCTATCTCATACCATTATCTTGATAAAGTGTCCTTTTGTTGAATAAAATTCATTGCTATACCTAAAGAGGTTTCAATTTTATTGCGCCAGTCCACGAACTTTTTGATATGAAAATATTACTTATTGATATTAGATATGAAAAAGGGCACCCATTCTTTAGCCACCTCGAATCAACGACTCTCCCTAGACAGAGGATTTGGGTTTTGATGGTTTCCATGCTAATTATGGGGAAAAATTAACATATCTGCCAATTTTGTTGCCGAGGTTTGGCCATTTCTGACAAATGGACTGTTTTTGTTATAAAAAATATATCTTGCATAGAAGGAATATAAGACTAAGAAAATCTTTCAGCTTTTGTGACAGAACGCTAAGGAGCAGGTCACGTGACCACGTATATCACTTGATTCGAGCCTGAGCAGAACGATGGCAGATGTGCATTAAATCGGAGAGGACTTATTTAAAATATAATCAACACTGAAACCAAATACTGTTTCTTTTATGGAAGTTATTCACTTAGTTTTCAAATCGCCCCTTGTATAACAAATATAGCCTATTATTTTATCTAAAAGGAATTTTTACTACCGTAATTTGTTAAATTTAGCACCCTTATTATATTTTATCTTCCAGATAAAAACAGACATTTCAATGAATTACTGTCTTCTAATGGCCACCGTATGGAAAACATGACGGCAGATTTACGAAATTACCGTTCTCTGGCGGAGAGTCACAGAAAATCGCTGGAAGAGAAAAAAGGTCTAAAAAAATATTAATGTAGAATGAAAATTTGACCTAAATTTCCTCTTTTTGATATTATTTATTAATAATTATCAAACACATGCCAAATTCCAAACCCACATCATTTAAGTAGTTTAAAATTATGTACAATAATTTACTATTTATTTTTAAAGATTATGTACATGGTCTTCAACGGAATATAGATAAGCTTACTTGTAAGTATACATGTAATATGTATAATGCGGAAACAATTTTAATGTATACAACAAATAAGAAAAGTAAAATTTCATCGAATAACATGAGAATATGCTGTGCAAAACCTATGCAATTGCAGCTTCCATTGTTTTGATACAGACTATTTCAGTAAAATGTTAGACCTTTACTTTCAAAAGAAAATATTAATAATTTTATATAGATGAAAATGAAAAATTAAAAGAAGAACGTGACAAGTATCACCAGGAGAGCTTTGAATTAAAAGACAGATGCCAAGGTTTGACTGAGGAGCTAGAACAGTCAAGAAACGAAAGCAGAGAACTGAGGGAACAAGCCGAGGCTGCTGATGGTACAAGCGAAAATAGATCATTCCCAAATCAAGGTCAGTAAAAAAATAGATCAATCCCAAATAAATGTCAGTAAAAATAGATAAAGACCAAATTAGGGTCAGTAAAAATAGATCAATTCCAAATAAATGTCAGTAGAAATATATAAATACCAAATCAAGGTCAGTAAAAATAGATAAATCCCAAATTACGGTCAGTAAAAATAGATCAATCCCAAATTACGGTCAGTAACACATAGATCAAAAAAATCAAGGTCATAATATTTTTAAATTAAGGTTTTAAAAATTGATTTTTCCCAAATAAATGTCAGTAAAAATAGATAAATTGTTTTATGCTGAGTCGCCAGTATTTCAAGATTTTTTATCGATCATTAATGAACAATAAATGTTCATTCCTTATTTTTTAAAAGTGCCAGTTTAAAATGAGTTTGAATGTAAAAAAAGAATGACAAATGTTACATATTGATTTACAAGATTTTTTTTATTTCCATTTTCCAAATTTTTAAGTACTCCAGCAGGTACATATTAATGACATTTACTCTTTTAATAAAATAACATTTCTTATCTATAAGGTTGGTTTTGATAATTTTAATAAATTTTGCAGGTCCTCCAAACGTGAGTTTTCAAGGTCCAGGATTTTTTGCACATGGTATGTTTACTTTTATATAATCACCGTTACATGACATTATGCATTTGTAATATTCTTTGTTGAGGTGTTTCCAAATTCCATCCACATGTATGTTTCATGATACAGCATTTTTTGGTTTTGACTCCTTTGAATATAATTAAAAAGTTTGTTAACAGAATATAAGTCCAAGAAAAATTTTCATTACTTTTGTGACAAACGCTTGGCAGGTCACCCTTGTATAAACAGCCGTTGTTCTTCCCTTAGAACATCAGTATGTGAAAATTTATAAAGAACTTTAAAATATAAAACAGAAATGGAATACAATTAAATTTTATATTCACTAGTTTGAAATTGTGATAAATGCTTGTATAACAAATAAGGGTATGATTTTATCTTACAACAAATATGTTAATATAGTAATATGTAATCAAAATTATAATTTTGTAATTTTATCTTCCAGATTTTGTGTAACATTGACATTTAATGATTTTTTCTTCTAATTTTTACTGGAAAACATGATCAGATTTACTGCAATACCAATACCTCTGAAAATCACTGTAAGAGAAAAAGTTTTCTTTATATAGTAGAATGAAAATTTGACATTTCCTCTTTTTGATATTTTATTAATAATTATCAAATACATAAACAAACCTTCATTGTTTTAAAATAAACCATAATACTAATACCCGAACAAGATTATAGTACAAATATAAAAAACAAATATCAATAAGTTACTTGTAACCATAATTTAATTTTAAAAAAATTTTAATGTAACAACAAATTAAAAGTAAAATTTCATTTTGAATAATAATAAATGCTTTAAAAACATAAATTACACCTACTGGTAAGAGACTACTTTTTAAAGCTTTTATATTTATTTTTTTTATTTAATAATTTTATATAGATCCCGAAAATGAAAAATAAACGAAGAACGTGAAATATCTGAGAGCTTTGAATTAAAAGACAGATGCCTGTATAACCTGGAGCTATAACAGTCAATTTGATTATCGAAAGCAGAAACTGTGGGACAATGAACGGCTTCATAAAAGTGAATATATAGATCATTCCCAAATCAAAAAAAAATAATAAACATGATGTGACCTACGTAATAATTAGTAATTATGTTAAATGTAGTTAGTCATCTAATTGAAAAGTAAACCATAAGACCACGGAACATATAAATACTGGCAAGATTGGAGATATGCATGTCATTTCCATTTTTTACAGTCTAACGTTCAAACTATAATTTCCATCCATTATTCTCAGACGCTCTCATCGAATTTTCAGACCGCTCAATTTCATTTTTTCCCCAAGTTAATGTTCCACATGCTTATCAATTTTGCACAAAAAATGAAATTGGGATTTAGTTGATGTAACTTTTTATCCTTTTAGCCATCATAATTATTTTAGGGTGATTAAAAGTATATTTCTTGATTTAGCAATATCCAAAAAATTGTAAAATACAAAGTCCTCAGAAAATTCAAAATTCATAACTATGTTTCACATTCAATATATTTTTATTCAATCAAAATATTTTAGAAAAAGAAGATCAAATAGAATTTTGATTTCAACATTTTCGTTTTTTTTCTATATGCGTGCTCAGTTTTGTAGTTTTATAGTTGTGAAGATTTTTTTATTTTTTCTCTATAATTTATCTTTTAATCCTGTGCATTTTATTAAATTATACAAAGAGAAGAGGTGGTTTTTGGTTATTGTTTTACATGAATTAATTCTAACAAGATTTCTTTTTAGGCCATTTTCCAAATTTTTAATAAGTACTCCAGCAGGTTTATTAATGACATTTACTCTTTTAATAAAATAACATTTCTTATCATAAGGTTAATTTTGATAATTTTATATAAATTTTGCAGGTCCTCAAAAATGAAATTTTAAGGTCAGGATTTTTTGCATGTTTTTGTTTACTTTATATAATCACCGTTACATGAAATTATAAATTCTACAGGTAATATATAGAGGTGTTTGAAAATTCCAAACATGTATGTTTCTTACAGCATTTATTTTGGTTTTGACTCCTTTGAATGTAATTATCAACAAGTTTGTTAACAGACATATGCCCAGTTTCATTACTCTCGTAATCGTTGGGCAATACTCTTGATAAACAGCCGTTGTTCTTCCCTTATCATCAGTATTGAAAATTTATAAAGAACTTTAACTAAAACAGAAATGGAATGACAATTAAATTTTATATTCACTACTTTGAAATTGTGATAAATGCTTGAAAAAGGTGAAGTGATGCTGCATTACAACAAATATGTTAATATAGATTAGTATATAATCAAAATTATAATTTTGTAATTTTATAAAAAATATTTTGTGTAACATTGATTTAGATTTTTTCTTTAAATTTTTACTGGAGCAAGAATGATCATATTTACTGCAATACCAATACCTCTGAAACACCGTAGTCAAAAGATTTCTTTATATAGATAAGGCTCGGAAAGCTTTGGCATTTCAGTATGAAACCTTTCTACGTCATACTTAGAGATAATAAGACAAACCTTGTTTTACAAGAAACCATATACCCAATACTTTCAAACAGTTATTGTCCAAAATAAAAAAAAAATCAATAAACTGGAACCATAACTTTAACCAAAAAATCTTACGAGCCTAGAAGGGTTCAAAGTGAATATTTATTTTGAATAATAATAATCACTTTATAAACATAAATTACGCCTACTGGTCGCGGAGACTACTTTTTAAAGCTGATCATTATTTTTTTTTACAGGAACTTTATCCCTGTCGAGAACGATCCTTTGGATGAAATAGTTTAAACAAGGTCCCGTGCCACAATAGATGCATGGAAAAGATTCCTCACTGTTCAATGGCGAAAAGTGCAGATAATAGGACACAATTTTAGCTCCTCACCGGCAATTTGCGGCCTCTCCATATGAGTGAAAATTCTGGAGAGGGCCATTAAACAACAGAAAAGCAAACATGGTCCCTATTTGTTATCTTTCTCCTTTAATTTAAAGTAATACTGTTGAACGCTGAATGCATCAAATTCGCTATTGTGAAAATTAAATGTGATATCTGTACCGAAAAAATTATGAAATGAAGGTCCCAGAAAGTTTTTTTTTTCCAATATAAGTGTGAATGAATTAATACTGAAGTTCAGGGTTTTTTCCGTTTAGATTAAAACACGTCTCTTAGTATGTACAGCTTTAAAGTATAGGCGAAAAGTTCTAGACCCTCGTAAAATGGGCCGTCAAGGTTCTTTCACGTCTAAATCTCTTAACTAGTAAGTCAGTGGCGTATCATCATATTTTAATGTAAAAATCCAACTTTTACCCGAATAAAAGACGCGACTAGCAAAAAAGGGGGAGGGGGAAGAAACTTGTCCAAACTTGAAAATTTTGTGTGAGGGTGTGGGTGGCTGGGGGGACGACTTCAAGTGCCAGACGTTTTCTTATACGTCATTATCCTTAACTAACTACCAGGTATTAACTATACTCGAACAAAAAGGGGTTTCAACAGTAAAAAGTTATGTGTTTAAAAAGTGGGGTTGGGGATGGGGTAGTGGACATCCCTGATGCTGCGTACCTGTAAGTAAAGAAAGATAAAATATTTTAATCTTGCTTCGAGCAAGCTTTCACGCATACATATATATTATGCAACACTGCACCTTTTTGGTTATTTTTGGATGTTCACTTTCAAATTTTCTCATCAACAACTGCGATTGCTTGACAGACAAAAAAAATTTACATAAAAGAAAAGGCTTTAATATTCATCTGTTTACTTTTGTTAGCAGTTTTATATTTTTGATGTATAGAAAAAAATAAAGCGCCGCTCAATTTACTGATTAAAAGAAGAATTGTAGGGCATACTGTTTTTTGAAGAAATATAACTGTTCTATTTGCAGTAAATACCCATCTACCCAGTCTCTCTCTACATATGAAGCATGCGTGTATTATTAGTAATATACATATCAAAACACCATTAAATTTTGGAGTGAATCCAATCCAGTTAATTTTCTGAAACTGTTATTACTACCGGTACTTTCGTTTCTTTTTCTCGACATATAGTGTTATGTATATATTAGCGTTGCATGTTCTGTTTTTTTATCGACACTTGCGAATATACCCGATTATACCTAAACAAGGTAAGACTTACGAGAATTTTATTCTCTGCATGCATGTAATTTAATAAAATGAGATTGAAAAAATAATATCTTAGCATGGCGATCATATATTATATTTAACACTTTATCATAAAAACTTTATCTTTGAAATACATAAAAAAAAAACGAAACGCCAGGGTACATGGTTATTACAGTATTTAGAAGAATGACGATATACGCCATATTATAATTAGTCTGGTGCTGATTTTTAAAAAAAGAAGACTAGAAATGAGTTCTAGCGGCAAATAATCATTATCTAGCCCAGCATAGTTTTTAAATCTATTTCGGGTATGCTGATTCCGACAAATATGCGGGCTTTAATGAAAAAAGCGTTAAGAAGGTCAAAATGGCGATTCAAAATGGCGGACATCCAATGTTCCTATTTTTTCTTAATGTTGCCCAAACAGGAAAATTAATGTGTGAATATCTCACTGGGTGTAACGCAACTATAAAAATGATA